GGGTAATTATATATTTATGTTTTAAGACACTAAGAATTCTACTGAAAGCATTTACAAAAAAAAAAATTACAAACACTCAAGCTTAAGCCAAAACTTAAACAAGGTCGAGTTGCTATTGCCTGGAATATCTAAGAATTGTGGATTCATTTCAGCCCTTAAACTATGGTAAATGAATTGCCGGGTGTCTTATTTTGAACTTTCTGTCCAAGAGACAGTTGTGACGACGCTGACAGTAAATGTACATCTGGCATTTTTGCTGAAACTATGTGGCAACTCCTATAGCAAATCATCTCTCTTTGTTTCCTTGATAGATTATTTCTGGATTAAAATATGATACTACCTCTAGAGTAAAATGAACTAGTCATTAAAGTTTTTTGGTATCCTAGAAACTGATGTTTTTTGGCCTTATCAGTTATTCTTTTACTTATTTAAAGACAATTCACCTTTTACTGGGTTTCTACTGTTTTAATTCTGAAACTGAGCGTTCTAAAGGGAATGCAAGTTCCTCGTGAATTCGGGATCGCCCAGGTATGTCCTGCGAATGCCGCTTCTTACCTGAAGGGAGCCGCGTCCTTGTCCATCTGCATGCAGACCAGGAACGGGTACTGAGAGAACTGCACGGTGGAGATGAACTCCAGGCCTGCTTCTGTCTCCGCACTGGTTTCCAGGCCGGCTTTCACAAAGGAGGAGTCCACTGTGACGTCACCAGTTATTACCACACTCACCCTAAAGATTTGAGAAACAAAGCTTTTCATATCATATTTACCTAAGTTGCACTACACTGCTGTAGTTTCACAGGTCTGAACTTGTGACGTTGATGACTGGAAGGAAACACTGAGGGGCTGAGAGGTGACCTAAACGTGCTTAGAGTCTGGTTGGTCCCACAGACTGGGCAGTGAAGGTTTGTTGACCCGTCCCCAGAGCCCTTCCCTGCCTCCAATTCTCAATATGGGAACAAAATGTCCATCAGGTACTACACTGTTTTGTATGGGCATACCAAAGACCAAATAGATTCTGAAAAGTCAGAAGGTTAAACAATTCCCAAAACATCTCTGCAGTTCTTCGCATAGAGTAGTATATGTATTACGCTTACCGATTTTTCACTCGGGTTTTAGACTCACGATACCACAGACTAAACTCCATTGCACCCGAGATATCAATAGCTAGACCACCCTGGACCTCTATGTTGGCCTTCAGTCCAGATTGCAACTGAAGCTCCTAGAAGCAAAAAATAATAATAATAATAGTAATAAAAATAAGAAGTACAATTTAGTTACCACCCTTTCCAAAGGCGCATTCAACCTCCCTCTGAAGACAACGCTATTTGAGTTGTGTTGATGTTGGAGTCTTTCTCTAGGCTTGGAAACATGTTGTCCTAATTCTTTTTAAAAATATTATTTTATTTTTTGTAGGAATGGGGTTTCACTATGTTCCCAGGCTGGTCCTCCTGTCTTGGCCTCCCAAAGTACCTGGATTACAGCTGTGAGCCAGTGTGCCTAGTCCATGTCCTAGTCTTGATGGCTGGAAGTAGACTCTGCTGATTCGCTAAATTAGTCAATTAAAAGACTAGAGCCTGAAGTGCTAATCAAGAAGGGTGTTTTCAGTCAATCATTGCCTCACTTTGGGAGTGGAAATGTTTCTCAAAGTGTGTTCTGTGAGGATCAGCATCACCTGGGAACTTGCTAGAAATTCATATTCTCAGTTCCCCCTTATACCTACTACATAGAAACTCTCAGGGTGAGGTCCAGCACTCCATGTTGTAACAAGCCCTCATGTGATTCTGAGGTACCTAAATTTGAGAACCACTGGACTAGGGAAGATGAAGGCATCTCCCTCAGAAATCTAGCTGTGGCTTTTTCGTGGCTGGGGGAGGTTTCAACTAGGTGATTTCTCAAGATTCTTTGGCATGTCTCTAGTTATGTGCTGTGTCATATATAGCCAGCTGCATTCTTCTGGCAAATAAAAGGCAGGATTAAAAACCCCCAGCACAGTACAGCCGTCCCTCAGTATCTGAGAGGGATGGGTTACAGGATCACCTCCCCCAAACTTTCCTCCCCCAAGGAAACCAAAAGGCAAAGTGCTCAAGTCCTTTATATAGAATGATATAGTATAATATTTGCATGTAACCTACACACATCCTCCTGTATACTTTAAGTCATCCCTAGATTACTTATTATACCTAATACAATGTACAATGCTACATAAATAGTTGTACATATGATCTATTTTTAAAATTTATATTAATTTTTATTGTTGCATTGTTATATTTTATTGTTTTTTTAAACGAAAAATATTTTTGATCCATAGTTGGTTGAATTCGATGTGGAACCAGGAGATATGGAGAGATAATTGTATACATGTTCCAAGAATTGCCTAGATCAAACTAGAAAGGAAGGCCAGGCAATTTAACTAAGCCTTCATACCCGCGCTGCTTGACATTTGAAATGGCATTGAATTAACAGTGAACTCAATAGCATTTTTCAGAGGGAGAGTATCATTTACCAACATAGTCCATCCTGAGCAATTTTGTGGTTATCTGAAAACCATTTTTTTTGTGTGTTGCTTGCCTGCATTTAGCCATTTTTAGCCTGCGTTTTTCATAGATATTAGCTGGGGTGATGTTGGCAGAAAACTTTTTCATCTGGATTGGAATCAGATTGCCTGGGGACAGTGTTGGAAGTGATAATGATTCTGGGATAAAGGCTCAGTATTCTTAAGTTTGATATTCCTTCAAAGATGTTAAATTCCTGGCACCTGGCAGCATAACTGACTTCTTTATGTAACTACCCTCCTCAGAATCAAACAAACCATGCATTTGCCAACTGTAAATGCCATGATTTCACTTTCTAGAAAGGATCATGTTGATTTGCCTGAATTCTCTCCACTTTCCAAAAAAATGTGACAGGAAATCTCAGACAAAGGACTTGGTTTAAGACCAGGTGCACTGAAAAAGTAGAATTATAGCATGAAGCCACCTTCAGTCTGGAGGACATTCTCAGATGGAAACACAAGCTTCTCAGTGCCATGCTCAGGACATGGTAGAAGCTAGCCCTGGGGATACTGAAGGCTACGTTCAGCTTAGAACAAACTGTAGTTGCTGTAGAATGTAGGGTTTGTTTCACGCATCATAAATAATGTTAAAGACACAAACTATCCTGAGAAAACCACAAAAGTCACGCCCAGATTTTAACCTATGCTCTTGAACTCCAGAACCAAAACATCAGAGTTCTGCATGTGCATTGTAATTGTGATTGTTCCCACATGAACCCTACCATGTGACCTGCCTCTGGAGTATTTCTTCTTTTGCATCTTCTCTTCTTTTTCCCATTAGAAAATCGTAACCTTGTTAGTCCACCAAGCCCAGCAGCAGCCTGTGGACCTTGGCCTTCCACTGGCCATAGATTAAGTGTATATCAAAACTTATCCAATGCCATGGAAAAGGCCATTTCAGGGTGTGAGACAATGCATCTTTTGTGGAGAGAGAGCATTTCCATTGCAGGTGGGTTATGAGGAACACCTTGGATTTCTGGGGAGATGCAATTTCTTTCGCGCAAAGGGACAATGGAAGAACTCCCACATGGAGTCACAAAGGAATTTTCTTTGACCCACTTATAAGGACCAACCACTGACCCCTGTGGAAGTACAAACCACTCTTTCCTCTGTGACACGGGCTATGCCACATGGCGCATTGGTTCTAGTTTTTGAGGAGTATAAAGTAAATGGAACTAACAGCTTTGAGCACCTTATGTGTGCCCATGGCTCTACATTTGGCATCTCATTTAACTCTCATACCAATCTTCCACGGGAGGCATTATATCTGAAGACTGAAAGGAAAAATCAGGCTCAGGGGCCACCCATGGTGCCAGAATAAATAGTCAGACTGTCTGTAGGGTGGAGACTTTTCTGCTAATATATATGCATGGCTGTCACAAGCTCATAACTCTCTTTTGTCTCCTGGTGTGCAAGAAAGCCTGTTCTGAGAAATATTGCGAAAAAAATAAAGCATAGGCTTATGTCCTTGTTTGAGCGGAGGTACATATTTGTTTAAATTCTTGCCTATGAACTAGAGGAACAAGACATTAGAACTCTGCCTTTGTAGCTAATGTGATCCCTTTGATCCTTTAGGTCAAGTAAGTTTCTTATAGCTCAGACATTGACATTTTGACAACTCATCCCGTTGCTTCCATTTAGGAAAATATGTTCTTTCCTGGCTAAAGAGGATCCTCTTATTCAATTGATTTTATCAGGCATCCTTCTCTGAAGAGTAACCCAATTAACCAAAGAGCGAGACCAAGAGAGCGAGCACAGAGTAATTCCATCTGCTGAGACTGGCCACCCACTACCAACATTTTTCCCTCAATGTCAGCATTTGACCCAGAGTGGCGTGTGTCTCTGAAGCTGGGGTGGCATTACTGGAGTGCCCTGCACGTCCAGGGGGCCTCAAACAGCTTATCTGTATAATAACCTCAGATCTGCCAAATACTCCAACCTGACACACACACAGACATCGGGTTCTGTTTAAAAGTTAGGGGCCAATCTTTCTCATAGAATACGCCTCGCCTTGGGTGCCCTTGGCTTGATGAACAGGAAAACCACACAAGATAATCTAGATCAGGGACCAGCAAACTAGGGCCAGCAGGCGAGTCTGGCCCACTGGCTGTTTTTGTAGATACAATTTTATTGGAATACAGCGATACTCATTTGTTAATATATTGCCGATGGCTGTTTTCACTCTATAGTAAGAGAGTTGAGTAGCTGCAGCAGAGATCACGCGGCCTGCAAAGCCTAAAGTGTTTTCCTTTATGTTTACAGAACAAGTTTGCTGACCCAGATTTGTTGCATCAGGGTTTACACCCCGATTCAAACCAGTAGGCATTGTTAATGAGAAGCTGAGCACATACAGGTGGTGTTGAACTCTCATCTGTGGACTACTCTAATGTGGACTACTTCCTCAGCACTCTGATGCTGCTTTTAGAAGATTATTTCATTAAGAATGCAATGGAATTGTGCAATGTAAAATTCTAGTATAGTCTGAGAACTGTCCATTTTTCATGTGTGACTTGAGGATTAAGGGACACGAGATGCACTGCTGGTTGACCTTCTTTTCTTCATCATATTGACAGAAACATGGTTTTGTTCAGAGTGTCCATACACCCACTGGAAAATTATATTCACCAGCTTCCCTTGCAGCTACAGATAGCCATGTGACACAGTTTTGGTCAATAACATTCTAGACAGGGCTTCCCAAAATGTTCTTGAAAAGGATCAGATTCTGTGGCCCCTTACCCTTCCCTTCCTCTTTCCTAGAAAGAGGACGCAGTGAGGGACACAGAGCGGCCCTTGGCTAATCACAAGTTGACAAGTGCGAGGTTAAACACTGTAAGTAAGGACGGCTGAGCTGTAGGAAAAGAGCTTGGATTCTGGTGATCTCTTGGGGATTCCAAGTTAACTCTGAATCACCAACTTCCAAATATTTGTCACAGAATAAAAATCAAACTAGTTTGTTAAGCCACCCTAAATTGTTTTTTGTTTTTGTTATAGACAGCTATCCTGAACTGATATGAGGAATAATAAACATAGGGAATTAACATTAGTTCCAACAAATGCGGTTTTGGAGGAGTTTTAATACAGTCTGCTATCTATGGTCTCTCCCATCTCTTAAAGTCTGTGATTGCATAACCAGAACCTAACAAATCAGAATCCTGAAATTAATAACAAAGCTGATAATAATCTTTGGATCATCTACTCCAAATGCCTCACTTTAGTAGTAGGTTTAAAGCTATTAAGTAACTGACCAGGAGCACCCAGGAAGGAAGTAGTGGAGGCAGAATTCAAACCTAGCCTATTACTCACAAGTTTATTAAACCGCAAAAGCAAACTTACCAAGGAAATCCTACAGTCTGTAAATTTTGAATTCAATCTCCTTAGATATCTTCAATATACTAAGTATGAATTAGACTTCACAGTGATCACTCTGATTCCCCATAATACCTTATTTGGCAGATATTCCATTTTTTTTATTGCTATGCTTAGTGAGGCAGAAAATAAATCAATCCATTAAAGAAAACGATTTTAAGCATCAAACATTCAAACTCAAAGGTTATTCAGATTAACCCTCTTCTGCTTCTCAGAAAATCCAGTTAGGCAGACCACCTCCACCCCATAGTATCTTGGTCACTTAAATCTTACTGTACAGAAGATAGTATTGTCAGTCTTTAGTGGATTATTGACAGATTTGGGGGCCAAGGAAAATTGCAAACCATTTTGAAGAATGCAGGTCAAGTGAATGAAAGTCCTCTTATTCTCTAAGAATGAGAAACCCTTTCTAAGATTTTATAAACGTGAGAATTTTGGGCAAAGAGTCTCCATGAAAAGATGTGGCTGGTGTCAGTGGTTGCTTGTACCTCTGCTAATTTGGCAGAGTCCCAGTGGTGCGCTATGTGGATCTTCATCATTGTCATCATTGCAAATGTCATCAGTAACTTGTGAAGCCCTCAGGATAAATATGGTCTAAGCTCTTGTGCCCCGGAAAGCCAAGGGAGGAGACGATGCTATTTCTGCTCTGTTGTATCCCAGGCTTTCTCCACAATTTCTTGTTTCTGTTAGTGTCAATATTTTCTCCTTAACTCAAGGTAAAGAGATCTCTTAATCAGCTAATAAACGCAAACGAAAATGCAACATATCTATAGTGAAGGAGAAAGGGCGAGAGTACCAAGAGGTCCAAGTGCTTAGAATGTGAGCTCCGAGATGGGCAGAACTTTGTCTTATATCATCCGAGTCCAGAGCACACTGGAAAAGTGCCTGGCACATTTCAGGGACTCAATAAATACTTACAGATTGAACGAATTACCTGAGAATGATCTATTAGCAGAACGAGCCCTTTCACAACACTGATGGGGTCGCCAGATGCAGACAGCACTTTGGACATCAAGTCACTGTATCCGTTGAAAAAGGTGACAGGCCTGAGTTGGACATCGAAGAGAATGGCTGACATGCCGGCGTAGGAGTCTAGGTTCTCCTCCCCCTCGTCGGGAGTGGCCGCAATTAAGGCCTCCAGTCCTTGGGCTTCTATGACCACCTGGGGAAAATTGATGTAACGTTCATGACAAAGCTGCCTGCCTGCTCTGTAAGTGAGCGTGAGGCTTCTGAGTGACAGCTAGAACTTCTCCAGGGATCAAAAACTCAAACATCTGCAACAGCTAGGCAAGAATAAATACACAAATAAATACAAAAATAAAAACCCTCTATGCCTGATATAAGATGAGTTCCTTTCTCCATTTAACCCTCACAACTCCATTGTGAGGTACACGTATTGAGGTACACGTTTTTACCTATTTTGTAGATGAGGGAAAAAAAAAAAAAAAGCCTCAAGTTTACCCAGCTAGTGAATGGCAGAGGCAAGATTCAAACCCCTCTGACTACAAAGACCATTGATTTTCCATTTTATGATGTCATTCTGAGGACTCTTAGTCTCTCCAGGACTGTCCTATTTTATATAACTAGGTCAGCTGTCTTGTAGAGCCTCAAAAGGAGACGGAGAGATGTTGGCACAGTCATCCTGAGGCCACTGCTAAAAGAGGACATAGCACTTTCTAAGCCACGACTCACACCATTCCATGGCAAACTGTTCTCCATAGCCAAAAAAAAAGTCATGAATACCATGAAGGGTTCTCATGCCCTGATTTCTCCCATACACAGGAATCCTACATATTTTCTGTCCTCCATACCCAGTTTCTTAATCCTGGGTGTTTGGCATTTCCAAGTGAGCATCAGAAAGCAGATGGTAATTCCTTAGGGCAGAAGGGCATAGTATTCTGACTATGGTACTATCAAAGGGCATAGTAATATGATATTGATAAGAACTCAAGTTCTTACAACACTAGATCATTTTTAAAGCTCAAATGACTTTATTTACAAGATTATAATTGCATAATTGCATAAGAGTCAAAAAGAAAGACTTTATAGATCATCACCAATTTCTGCATAAAACTAAAGGGATGAAAGTCAGCTAGTTGTCAAATGCCTACAATTTATTCTTTTGTCTTCTAGTAGTACTGGAGAAATATAGATAGACTCTTCAAAGAGCCATATTCTATTATGAAGAGTTTTATTATGGAGAATCAATCTCTTCACAGAAACACCCAGAAAAGGAAAATATATTCTAGAATTAAATACTTGAGGCAGGGGCCTAAGGAATATATCTGTGAATAAAAATAAAATATTATTAAAAATGTTCATGTGAGAAATACTGGCATGATTTCCATTCTGTATATATGTGTACCTTTGAAAAGACAAACGGATGTTTGGCGAGTCCAGTGAATCAAACTACTTAGGTGTCAAGTTCATATCTGAAACTTTCTCTGATACCATAAACCACACAGCCTCTCACAGATGATGGAGTCGTGGGCAGAATGCAACAGAAACCACCACTAACTTATACATTCTATAGTGGTAGCAACAGTATGTATTTATTTCACTTCAGACTGCTGTCTTACATAATTTGTTAAGCAAAATCCGCGGACAGGGTGTTACCTGGCTACCATGAAGACTGGCTTTCCCCATGTATTGGAAGACGTTGAGGTTACTTCTCCTGAGGATGCCAGAGCCAGAGTAAAGAATGTCCAGGCTGTACGTGGACGCCGAACGGGGCTCACCTGATAGCAGAAAATACAACTGCGACTTAACCACAGTCTCCACAGTGCCGGGCTGGGGAGGGGCACGGGGGCAGGACCTGTCTAGGATTTACATACGTTGTATGTAGCCAGTGTAGGCAGAAGAGGATCCAGTCCCGGAGAAACGGTCATAATTGTGAACTACCATCTCCTTCAGAACCCGGCGGACCATTTTGCTGCAACGTGGAAAAGAAAAAGCTGCACATTCATGGTAGTGGCTGTTTCCCGAGATAAATTTGGAGAAAAAAAAAAATCCTCAGTGGAAAAAAGAAGAAGCCAAGTTTTCCTCATGCCTCTCCGAGGCCGGGGGAGGTGGCAGCTGGCATGTCAGTGTCAGGACTAGGGCCAGCCCCTTGATGACTCAGATATTTGACATTTAGTTCGATAAGAAAATGACAGCAAGGAGAGGATGCCCAGCCATGAGGTGGCTTCAGCCAACTGGAGGGGACACACCTCAGGAGTGGAAAGTGCGTGTTCTTGGAATCATCATGGTTCTGTTGTTAAGTTGTACATATATTTAAGCAAAGCTGTACCAAACTTGGAAGATTGTACAATATTTTTTTAAATGGTTTTCTACACCCTCTAATGTTCTTGGAGGCTAATGATCTGTAACAGTAAATTTCCAATATTTCTTTTTTATCTGTGTTGTTTTCGATTATGAAAAGAGTTCAATAAAACCCATAAAGGAACCATTGTTTTCTGTGAAATAAGTCTTCATCCTTACTCTGTGCCTCTGTCTCGTCTAGAGAATTAGTGTCGAGAGCTTTCCATTTCTGATTACATGACAATAATCATATCAGCAATAACAAAGTTCTGACAACATGGCAAAACATCCGAATCATCAACTAAAGAAATCTGGACCTAGGTCTGAGGTAGAAAACTGTCGAGAGGAGTAGACAGTGACCTTACAGTTTTCCCTCCCAATATCACTAGGTTATGTGATTTTAGCCGAGAGAGGAAAAGATGAGGAGGGTCATGATATCTGTCCAAAAATCCTAAGCGGTCTTCGTATGGATGAAGGACTAGACACGTTCTGCTTTGCTCCAGGGATAAAACCAGAGTCAGCAGGCAGATTTCGGTTTATGCAAAGATGTAATGGTGAGAGAGTCTCTGGACGTTGGCACAAGTGTCCTTAGAGGTGGTGAGCTTCTTGCTACTGACAGGGACAAGCGAACTCTGGACACCACGTGTCAGGAGAACAGAGCCTACACTGGACAGGTTCCAAGCAAGATGGCCGCTGGTGTCCCTCCCACTCTGACATTTCTGGTTCTGAGACTCTGAGCCATAATGTTGGTGACAGCTTCCACACGTTTCCTGGGCTGCTGTCTCCTCTTTCCTGTTCCCAGAACTGCTGGTTTCACAAGACAAAGGCAACAAGGACCCCCAGGACCCCCTCCACGGTCTTATAAAAGCAAACAAAGGAACAGAAAGAGAAGTCAAATCCATTCAACCCGAAGCACATGGCTGCAGGTGGATTTGGCTCCATTTCTCACCTGCTCACTTGCTCCCTTCCTCTTCCCTGTGTGTCCTGCTCTTTTCTCTGTTCTGCTCCTCCCTGTTTCTTATTTCATCAGTCTTCTTAGTCCTTGTTTCTCTTTCCTTCAGCCTTTTACTGTCCTCTTTTTCCATTATTTTCTCTTTATTTTCCACCCTTCTGACTTCTGTTTTCCTTTTCTACGGGGAATGATCAAATATGATCTTTCCTGAGGGTAGTGTTCTACATGGAACTTACTGGAAACAGAAGCTCTTTCTCTGACCCTGTGATTCCAGTGAGGAGGAGCTTTGGGGGAGGCACTCTGAAGAGTGACATCGGGGAATCTGGGAGGTAAGACTTGGGAACGGAAGGAAGTTAACCCAGCAAGAGTAACTGAGAGTGAAGAAGTCTGCTGAGCACACTCATCAGACCTTGAATAATCCTAAAATGTGGGCCACGCCTAAGGTTTTAAACTTAAATTTCAAATTCATTTGATCGTGGTAAGTGAGGTCTCAGAGATCCCCGGCATTTGGAACGTTAACACGAAATACTATTTGGAAAGAACTTACATCATTTTGTTGTGCTGATTATAAAAATAGTCCTGCTGAAAGTGCAATTAGATTTTAAAACATTTGGTGATATATACTTACCAGACTGAACAGAACACCCAGAGTAAAAATCACACCCATAGTTCCAAATCATAGTGCCAGGATGAAGTTGTTTTATCTGGCTTACTAAATAGCTTTCTTATGGGAACTTCGGCACTCTTTGGTTTTATGCAATATAACGCAGTGTAATGAACATATCACTATCATTAGCTACGTGTGTACCACATCAATATACAAATAAGCTTGAATAAGCAGAAAGACACGTGCAATGTATTAAATATTTTACCTTGCAGGCATTTCAAAACGTAAAATGTCTTGAAAAAGGGCGAGCATGTATTTATTCATTTCTTTGGGCAGCTCCCCAATAGAAAGCAGGATGTTTTTCACTTCCATGTAGGATGGATTGTTATTTAAAATGACAGTGGCCGCAGTGGTACGCACGGTCTTCTCATGAATTTTACGATTCTGGTGGTATATCCTGTTCAAGGTCTTCTTCACCTGTTTGCAAGACGTTCAAACTTAGTGCCCAACTTAGATTTCTAAAATTGACATTGTAGCAGGAATAGCAAGTATTGATAAAAGCATACATGTGTTACTACATTTCCCAGAATGCTTTGCAATTAAGTGGAGGCCATAGGACTAGTTCCTGCTAATGGACCCTGGATTGACAGGGATCACTTCGAGGCCGAGGCAGTTAAGAGCTGGTGTGCTTTCTCCATTTCTTTATTTTATGACTGCAGTGAACTTGGGGCCACATATTCCCTTACCCACATTAGGCAGAGCATGAGAAAGACTTTTGATAAACTGCTGAGATTTTGCGGTACATTCATTATTGCAGCATAGCCTGGTGTTACATAATATAGAACTTTAAGGATATTATGTGGCGGGGAAATGCAAATCAAAGCCACAATGAGATATCACTTATCTCTAGTGAGAATGGCCTTTATCAAAAAGTCCCAAAACAATAAACGTCAGAGTGGATGCGGAGAGATAGGAACACTCATACACTGCTGGTGGAACTGCAAACTAGTGCAACCTCTGTGGAAAGCAGTATGGAGATACCTTAAAGAAATACAAGTAGATTTACCATTAGATCCAGCAATCTCATTACTGGGCATCTACCCAAAAGAACAAAAGACACTCTATTAAAAAGACACCTGCACCCGAATGTTCATAGCAGCACAATTCACTATTGCAAAGATGTGGAAACAACCCAAGTGCCCATCAATACATGAGTGGATTAATAAAATGTGGTATATGTATAC